TCATAATTGCCCCAAACAGGAAATAAGCTAAATTCCCTTCAACTGGTGAATGGATCAGCAACCTGTGATACATTCATATGGTATAAAGGGAATAAACCAATGATGTGCCCAACAACACAGATGAATCACCCGTGCATGATGCTAAGAGGAAGGAGACCTACTTAAAAGCCTACACACTGTGTGACTCCATTGATATGACATTCTTGAACGGACAAAACTACAGAGCTGAAGGCTGCACCAGTGGTTGCCTGGGTGACGGTTAAGGGAGGGCTTGGCTCCATGGGCAGCAGCATTTTGGGGCGATGGCGCTTCTTCGGGTCTCGATGGCTGTGATGGCTGCACAATTCTGCATTTATCCAAGTTTGCAGAGCTGTTCCTTTACAAAGTGAGTTTTACTTACTGTACATAAATTTATGAAGAGCACTCCATGACCTTGTGTTGTTCTTAGGATAAATTCCAACTAGAATGGATTTTGTGTTCTTTACTCTGACTCGCACAGTACCTCATGGCCTGGGCCTGCCATTCTCTGGCCGCATTTCGCTCTCCCCTTCCCCCTGTACTGATGACAAGACACCAACTTTCTAGTAACATCTAGCAATGGTTTGTGCTGTCGTTGTGGTGATGGAGCCAGTTTGCTGCTCCTTGTGTCACACTACCTCAGACTGAGGAGCTCTCTGGGACTGCTGCTCCCTGTCTTTTGGGTGGCTTTCGGATACAGCCCAATGGCACCTCACCTCCCAGCGTACGCCCTTTGTCGGACACCTGGGGCCTTCCCCAGTGCTTCCCAGACACCTACTTGGTGACCACTCACATGCAACCCTGGAGTGACGGTGATTAACGCTGGCCAGTGGGAACAAGGAGCCTGCAAATTAACTTCTTCTCTTCCCACCGCACCAGTGCTCTTTCCCCTCACCTCCAACAGGTGTTTGGAGCTTCGGAAGCCTTACACTGCTTCTCTGAACACCAGAATTCATCCCCTTTCTCTTGGATCCTCCTTCAACTGATGTCTCCATAATGCCTCATATAAACCCACGGTGCTTCCTGCAACTCTAACGACAAGGAGCTGTGTGACACCCTTCCTTACAGCTCTCCACCTCTGTTCCCGACTCACTGCTCTCTCCTCTCAGTTCTTCTTCCCTGGGGGGTTTCACTGTCCTATGAAGTCGTAGCACCCAACCTTTGGCTAGGGCTCTACTTTCCAGGGAGTTTCGCCACCAGCTACAGCTCCACTGAGCTCCAGCTCCAACTACATTAGATTTCTTCGTGTTTTTGGAGTAAGCTGTGCAATTTCCCCTCCAAACTAGACCCTCTGCACAATGTTTCCTCTGCCTGGCTGCTTCCCTAAGTTGTCCCAGCATGTTGCCCTACGTGAATTTTTGATACAGTTCTTATTTGTTATATATTTCGCTCCCCCTCCCACCCCACCTGCCCTCTGTGTCTCTGTCATTGAACTGGAAACCTCACCACATCACCAGAGCATGGATCTTGTCTGTCTTCTTTGGGGCTGTGTCCTGAGAACCTAGAACAGCTCAAGCACATAGGAAGCCCTCAGGAAACATTTGTGGAGTGGATGAACAAATACATGCTGTTGTTGGCCTAACTAGTCCAAAATTTATACATTCAGTTACTTCCTAGACAAAAACTTCAATTCGGTGCCCAAACTTGACCCAGTGCTGTGGTGAGAGAGCTGTCCCAGCAAATTAAACCTGTGTAAGCAAGAGACTCTGACTACAAGTCTAATGCCAGTTGTCTCAGTGTTCCTTGTTTCCAGTATCACACAGTTAAGGGACATTTTGAAATGTTGGGCCCACCTGTCTGGTGTGGCTCAGTGGATTGAGCATTGGCCTGTGAACCTAAAAGTCACTGGTTCAATTCCCAGTCAGGGCACATGCCTGGGTTTTGGGCCAGGTCCCCAGGTGGGGGCATGTGAGAGGCAACCACTCATTGATGTTTCTCTTCCTCTCTTTCTCCCTCCCTTCTCTTCTCTCTAAAAGTAAATAAATAAAATCTTTAAAAACTAAAAATAAAAAAGTAAAAGTAGGGCATAAATTCAGTCATAAATCTTCAGGCATAAATCTTTGTGACCTTGAATTAGGCAAAACCTATTAGATACAACAGCAAAAGTACAAGCAATGAAAGAACACATAAATAATATGTGTTTCATTAGAATGAAAACTTTTGTTCCTCAAAAGATACCACCAAGGAAATGAAAAGACAACCCAAGAATGGGAGGAAATATTTGCAAATTATATATCTGATAGGGAACTATATTCAGAATATTTAAAGAACTCTTTCTTATACCTTAATAATAAAAATACTAATAGACAAATAACCCAGTTAAAAAAGTGAACCAACGATCTGAAAAGACATTTCTCTGAGGAAGATAAACACATGAAAAGATGATCAACACCCTCGGCCACTGGGAAAATTCGGATCACAGCCACAATGAGACATCGCTTCGCACTAGGATGGTGAAACGTAAAAATGGCAAATAACAAGCACTGCTGAGCGTGTGGGGAAACGGGGGCCCTCACACACTGCTGGTGTGAACGTAATGGGGTGCAGCGCCTTTGGGAAACACTGTGCTGTTCTTCAAAATGTCCAGTGTAGAACTGCCACGTGGCCCAGCAATTCCACTCCTAGATGCACACCCAAGAGCAGTAAAGACATCCACCCACACACAGACCTGCACGGGAAGGTTCATAGAACATTATTCAGAACAGCCAAAAAGTGGAGACACCCCAAATGTCCATGAATTGGTAAATGGATAAACGATGTTTCCATGTCATGGGGCCCTATTTGTTCGTAACAAGGAATGAGGTACCGATGACGTGGATGAACACTGTACTAAGTCACAGAAACCAGGCCGAACAGACTTCACATTATTGTACGAAGTCTTCATTTTATGGAATGTCCAGAATGGGACAGTCTACAGATACAGGACGTTGTTCAGTGGATGTCACGGGCCGGGGGGGAGGAGGAAGGGCATGAGTGCCAGCAGGTGCAGCATTTCTTCTGGGGGCGATCCAGCTCAGCTCTAAAATTGATTGTGGTGATAGTTGTGAGTACAGTAAAAACATTAAATCGTGTACTTTGAAGGACTGAATTTTATACTATATACATTATATCTCAATAAAGCTTTTTTTTTTAAAAAAGCAGAGTTGATTAAAGCAAGATTTAAAAATAAAGAAAGTGGGCTTTAAATCACTGAGCGACACTGCCACCCCAGCCACTGTCACCTCCCCGCTGCTGCCTCTGGCCCACCAGGGTCTTCCTGCAGTGTCCGCGGGCACCCACCAGCCCACGTCGCGGCTGGGGACCCCTTGTGGCCCACAAACCTCTCTTGGCCTACAGAGCATGTAAAAGATGTAAAAATTAGCTTCCAATATTTTACATTGAGAACAGTTCACATGAAATGTGCATTTCTGGCTTCTCTGAAAAAGAAGAACCAAAACCAAAACCAAATGGAAAACTTAAAAAAAAACCTGCCCGACTTGATGGCCACCCTGGACCTGCATTTCCCGTGTAGAAAAAGGAAGCTGCCCTCTCTGCGGCACGATGCCCTTCCCAGCCTGCCCCGGTCCACCCAGCCCAAGCCGCTTCTTCCTGCCTGCTCCTTGATCCCGTAAGCCCTTTTAGGGACATTGGAATTGGCAACACCTGCTCAGACCTCTTTCCTGGCTTCAAACCTTTCTCCTTCTGTATCCCATTGCCTTAGGCTGTTTGGTGATTGCCCGAGCCCAGGTGGCCAACCCCGGCTGTACATCGCAACCTCCTGGGGCCCAAGGAAAACATGCCCAGGCAAGGCTACACCCCCCACCAGTCAAATCCAAATCTCTGGGGAGGAGGCCTAGGCCAAGCATTAACAAACGAAACAACAAGCCAGCTCGCTGGGTGGTTCCGGTGGGTGTGGACAGAATCCACACCAGAATGAGTTTTAGTATCCAGTCACGGTTTGCTGGCCTCTCGGACAGTGTTGCTACTCAAGCACTGCCTGGGGGAGTGGTTGATGTGGAAACTGAAGGCAGAATGAAGAGGATGGCTTCGGTCAGGCGAACCTATTCACTTGATTTTCAAATCAGGGTTGGCAGCTGTTTAGACCTAAATAAAACTGTCATTTCCATGACTAGTCATATTGAAAGATTTTGTCATTGTGATAACAAACATGGACAGGTCAAGGTGACTTTACAGCTTTACAACATGGCACCTTTTGCTATTTTTAACCAGCAAATGTTTAAATCAATGAATCTCAGTTGCTGTTCACACCTCTGATAGGTTCTGGAAATGTCGCTGGGGTTGACAATTGCAAAAAGTTACAGTGGCTTTTTGAAAGGTCATGAGTGGCCAACACTGTAAGACCAAAACATAGTGGTTGAACGAACAGACAAGACACATGCTTTGTACCTCTCCAGTGGACATGAAAGATTTGGTGACATTCTGGGGTGGTCCACAGGGTGGTGGTGGGAGTGTAAGGTGCCCCCTCAGTTGTCCTTTTTCCGAATTGTTGTTAAGCCATCTCTAGACCATTCACAGGCTTTGAATAGTGAAAACATTGGTTAGGCAAGAGCAGCCCCCTCGCACCTTGTGAGTATGTATGTCCTGCCAAGGCCCCCTTGAACTTCGCCACAACCATCAGGGACTCCAGTCGCCTCTCTCCACCCCACACCAAAGCCTAGCAGAAGGTGCTGCGGGTTGAGATTGACCACCCCACGACCTGAACAGGCAAACGGATGGCACCCCTTGGAAAGTGCCAGCGCAGCCTGGCCAGAAATTTGGGCGGTGGGCTAGGACTAGGATGCACAACGTGGATGAGTCTGGTGGCTGCACGGGGCAAGGTGGGGGCATCCACTGCACCTGTAAAACCCTGCACCTCAGCTTGGCCCCCCTGAACCCCAAGAGAGGCTGCCTGCCAGGCGGGCGCAGTGGGGAGGCGGGGTGGGCGGTTTCGAGGAAGGAGGCAGCGAGCGAGGCTGGGGAGGGGGGCGCGGCAGGCGGCGTTGCTGTCCAGGGGGAGGCGGGCGGAGGGAAGGCGCTGCCGTCGCCTCGCCTGCGGCGACACAGACGCCGAGAGCAGCTGAGGCGGTGAGTCGCAGCGTTTGCCCTCCGTTTCTCTGGAGCCAGAGCGGAGTCGGAGTTGCAGCCTGGGGTGGGGTTGGCGGTGGGGGTGGGGGTACAGTGGGGGTGGGGGAGTGGCTGCTGTGGGGACAGGCGGACTTGGGGCGCAGCGGGCGCATGGGCGGGCACGAGGAGCGTGCGGTCCTGGGGACCTGTCACCGCAGCCCTTCCTTGAATCACTTCGCCCTCTTAGTGCCTCTGAGGGAAAAAAACAAAACAAAACCAAAGACCCTGAGGGTGAATGGCAGGCAGAAAAGGAGAAAGCAACTTTGCGGAGAGGGACGCGCAGAGGTGCGCGGGGCAAGCAGGATGGGGGCGCGCTGGGTCGGAAGGGGGCGTTCGTGAGCCTGGTGGCCTGGGGACCTCAGGAGCTTCTGTCCCAGGTGGGGGTTGGGGTCAAGGTCGAGGACACTGGCTGGTTCCTGGGCCTACGATCGGCCCTGAGAGGCCACAGAAGGCGTGTGCCAGGAGTAGAGACCGGGGAAGGGGGCTTTGGGAGCGTCTGAAAGGCACTAGTTGAAAATCCAGGAGGAGTGGTCTGTGTTTTGGACTCAGGACCTGAAAGATTTGCATCTCCGGCCCTCAGGGACTCGGGAAGGGGTGTGCTGGGGAGATGTGTTTGAGTATTTTTCAGTGCATACCGATTTATTTTTAGCTTCAGAGAAGCAGGATGTGCAAAGTGGGTTGTATCAACCCGGGAGGGGCAGGAGGTCTCCCTGTCCGCAGGAAATACACAAGTTTCTCGCTGCAGATGCTCGCTTCCACTTCACCGCCCAGAGAAAGAGAGCCGTTTGGCTGTCTAAAGATCTCCCTGCCAGGACCGCTTTCTTCCTGAGGGTCCGGCTGAGGCTGCACGCCAGGCCAGCCAACTGTGTTGCACGTTGGCCTTAAAATATGGTACACGTTCTGTTCATAGAAAAACTAGTGGGGAACACAGAGGCAGAACGGCCAAGGGCTCACTCACCGGAGGAGAAGGAAACCACACAAGCTTGCCCAAAGTTCTCCCAGTTCTGTCTGATTTGAAAATAGCAGGCTTAAACAGCTGTATTACAGGGAGCAGGGCTCTCTGTTGGTGCTCCTCAGACCTAAAGAGCAATGCTGGTGAGGTTTTTCACAACTGGAAGACGCCTGGGTTTTAGGGTCAAACGTAGCATGCAGGGGTTGCCAGGGAGAAGGGGGTGGTGGGATGAAGAGGGGAGTATGGGTGCATGGGGACACCACTGGGGGCTGAGTGCATGCTTGGGGAGGGGCTTTATTCAGTGGGAGAGGCTCAAGAAGTGAAACCCAAATGTTCAGGTACCCACTGCACACCACTGGAAGTTGTCCTGGAGTCTCACTTCAGCCGTCAGTGCCCACTTCTGAATACTCCTCACAGGAGGGTGCTAGGAGAGTGGATTGTGAGGGGCAGGGTTCTGCAGCCAGACTATTTGATTTGAGCTGTGGTTGGAGCGTGAATGGCTCCCAGACCTTGGGCTCCTTACTTCACCTCTCTGTCTCCTGATCTGTGCCGCGACATTGATAATAGAACCAACCCATCTCAGGCTTGTTGTAAAGATCAAATGAGTTGACGTACAGAAAGCACTCTACACAGTGCTTATTCAGTAGTAAGTGCCGCACAAATATGAGCTTTTAGTATTTTTGTCGTTGTCATCAATTAGTTCATGGCCTCATAACTTCTTGCCTGAATTGCTCCAACCGCCTTCACACCGGGCTGCTTACTCCCGGTCGACACTCTTGCTCCAGTCTGTTCTCCGAGCTGCAACTGGAATGCTCATTTTGGAAATGGAAATCTAAGCCTGTCATTCTGCTTCACTTCCTCCAGAGGTTTTCTGTGGTTTTCAGGATAGAGTTCGGATTCCGTGGAATTTCATGACCCCACCCTGTTTCCTCACCAGTCTCATCTCCCAAGCCTCCCCACGAGGGCCTCTGCCCTGGCCACGGAGTCTCAGTGCCTGTCCCCCTCCCACCCTCCCTCGTTGGGTCAACTCCTATGCATTCTTCCCAACTCAGCTGCAGCCACGCTGCCTTCCAGCAGAACGCTTGGGCCCCCACCCCGAGCTGGCCAAGCTGTCCTTGCTTGGTGCTGGCCCGTTACCCCGCACATGCCCCTCACATCACTCTGCATCATCATCTCCCTATCGTTCTTCCCTGCCTGCAAGTGCCTTGGGAGGTGGATTGGGAGATGCCTGTTGAATGAGTAACTGAGTATCAGTGAGGCGAAGTTCAGCCCTTTGCCCTAACGGCAGGAACAAACATAAAGGATGGCGTAGAAGAGGACCAAACTGATCTTACACACACTACTCCACAATAAAAAGTGTTGGGAAGTGTGACATGCCGTCTTGGAACCATTTCAGAGGTGTGTGTTCGTGTGTGTTCGTGTGTATTCGTGTGTGTGTAAGAGATCAGACTAACAGTGGAAATGTAGTGATCTGAACTCTCTCCTTGCTTCCCTCATGAAAAGGTCAAACACCTCAGGTTGGGTGGTGGGGGTGGAGGTCCAGCTGTGTGAGGTGAGTGGATTTGGTTCCGTAGGCAGAGGTGAAGGTCACCACATGCGTGAGCTTTGTGCCCTTCCTTCGGTTGTAGCTCCCCGCCCTGAGTGTGGATTTCAGCTTGCCCTGGGACTGGTATAATGAGAACAGGAACTCTCTCCCGTCATCAAAGCTCCTCTGTTACTTTCGGGCAACTCAGTGTGTTCTCTGGGTGCACCTCCAACTAAGGCAGCACTTCCAAGAGCTCCCTTCCCCAGGAGCCCTACGGAGGGAGACAAAGCCGGTGCCTGGTGCTCTGGGAAAGCCACCGAGTCTGGGTCAAGGATGCAGAGCAGAGGTTTTTTTTTTTTGTACAGCTGAGAGAGCAAAAATGGTTTTTACATTTTTAAAGGGCTATAAACAAATCAAAACACAAAGAAGAATATGTAACAGATCATGCATAAAACCCTACCTAGTTTTTTATGGAAAAACTTTGTCAACTGCTGTTCTGAAGCTGAGAGAATTGGTTTCATTTTGCATGTCATCTTTGATTGATGGGTCGCGGCCGCCTGGAGAAGTGGGCTGAATATGAATCCGTGGCCAGGTCCTGACTCAGTAGGAATGACTGCAGTGACCAGTTAGTGATGGTTGTCAGGGTATGGGATTTGGGAGTGGTGGCAGACAAACTTTGTCCTCACCATCCCTCTATCTCTGTCACCGTGCTAGAGAGCATCCGTGATGGAGAGTATTCCAGAGCAGAGCACATGAGTTGAAAGGGATTCCGAGAAGAAGCCAGGAAATTTCTACCACAACAATGAACTATCACTGTAGTTAACATTTGCCCATTTATTGAGTGTGCAATATGTACGTAAAAGAAGATCTCATTTCATCTTTGTAACATTTTTGGGAAATATTTATTTTAATTAGGACTCAGTTCTGTTGCAACTGTCAGACTATTTTAGGTAAAAAAGGAAACATTATTTTGGCTCTGAGAACTCAGAAGGATACTTCAGGTAAGGCTCAATCCAGGACTCCAGCATCATTATCAGGACTTGATTTCTCTCTCCACGTTTCTTGGTTTGCTTTCTGGAGTTGTTACCATTTTTAGGCCCCGTTTCATTATAGGATGGCTCTAAGAGCTTCAGATTTTTAAAAAAGATTTTATTTATTTATTTTTAGACAGAGAGGAAAGGAGGGAGAAAGAGAGGGAAACATCAATGTGTGGTTGCCTCTCGAGTGCCCCTGAAAGGCGACCTGGCCCACAACCCAGGCATGTGCCCTGACTGGGAATCGAAACAGCGACCCTTTGGTTTGCAGACTGGCACTCAATCCACTGAGTCACACCAGCCAGGGCAGAGTTTCAGAGTTTATGTAGTCTGAGTTTTAAATCCAGCCGGAAAGTGGGAGCCTCTCTGCCAGTATTGCTCACAATGACTGGCTGTGGCTCACTGGCTCTGACTGGGCCCCAGGCCTGTCCCTGTGTTACCGCGGCTGGGGTTCCACACAGTGCTAGAGCTGGGCTTGGGCACGGGTTTCACCCCTGAGCTGGCACCTGCAGACGGGCTGATGGGTTTCAGATTGCAAAGCAGGAGACCTCCACCACAGCACTGCTAGCAGCACCCCCACTCCCTAGGTGAGGGAAACAGGCCTCGGGCACTCGTTAGCTTGTCCAAGGACATACTTTATGCGCTTAGTTATCTGTGAACAGAAAAATTTAAAGTGAGTTTAACGTGAAGCTCTATTCTTTTATTTCTGAAAATACAGCAGACTAACTTCCAGAAATGTTACGTACTGACAGGCTAGAAGATAGGAGAAAGGAAAAAGACAGACTTCTTTGGCTGGAATTTTACTCACTTATTCAATCAATTATCTTGAGCAGTTTCTACATGCGCAGCATCGTGTTAAGCTCCAGGGATACAGGAAGAATAAGATCTAGTTCCCTATCTGTATTTATATTTTAATATGGAAGTGCGAGACATAATCAGGGGACAGAGTGACTGGAGCTATGGGGGCGGAAGTGCAGGAGCAGAGCCCCCTCAGTGGAGACCATGACCTTCTGGTTTGTTCACTGACACATCCCTACTACAGTGCTTTGCGCGATAGTCAAGCAGTAAATATTTCTTGAATACATGATTTGTTTTTATTGTGGCTAAGCGTACATAACATAAATATTTCCATGCTAATCATATCATTTAACTGTGGCGCTAAGTACAGTAAGTACATTCACATCACTGTGCGGCTGTCACCATCCATCTCCAGAATGTTTTCATCTTTCCAAGCCGAAACTTCACACCCGGTACACAAAAACCATCCGTCTACCCTGCCACCCAGCCCTAGCAACCACCATTCATTTTCCTTTCCGTCTCTATGAATTTGCCTCCTCTAGGCACCTTACATAAATGAAATCATACAAGATTTGTCCTTTTGTGACTGGCTTATTACACTTGCCATGTCTTCAAGGTTTGGTCTTATCGCTGTATGTGTGAGAATTGCCTT